GAAATCATCGCCTTTTGTAATATTCACCTCATTGGCCTTCGGGCCCTTTTTCTTGCTATTCTCCTTCTCCTTGAGCTTCGGGCAGTCTCTCCTCCAATGTCCCTGCTCCTTGCAGAATACACATTGGTTCTTTGCTAATTGGTGGTGGCTTCTTGACTTTGACCTCCCTCTATTACCACCTTTCGGATATGGGTTTCTACCTCTCGTCGACAAGGCCTCTCCTAAAGTACTAGCGCGGAAAGTCTCCTTATCCTTCCTCCTCAAATCGTAGTTCGTCAAAACGTTAGTCACTTCATTATAGCTGATAGAAGATCTCCCGTTTAACAAAGTGAGCACGAAGGTATCATACTCCTCATCCGGTAAAGAGCCCAACAAAATAATAGCCTTGTACTCATCCAAAATATCCTCATCAACATTTGCCAAGTCCGACAATAACTTAGTATAGTTGTTCACATACGCCGCTAGTGAGGTGCCTCTGGACATCTGAAATCTGAAGAGTCTTCGCAGCAAGTGCAACATGTTCTCAACACTCTTCGTGAGATACTTGTTGTTGAGAATTTCCCACATCTCCATTGCAGACGTCACCCCAATCACATCATATTTCAGTTCTTGTTCCAAACAGGACCTGATCATCCCACACGTGTTCCTATTCATCTTCTCTCATATCACCTCATCATATTTAGGTGACTTCTCGTGGACCATGATGGTCTCCTCTAAATTCTGAGCATTGAGCGCATCCTGTACGTCGCTCATCCACAAACCAAAGTTGATTTTGCCGTCATACTTCACCACACTAATCTTAGTGTTCTGAAAACCAACTTGTATTGTACTCGCTATCGACTTGCTGCTTTCACCTTCTTCTCCTATTACAAACTAACTCCAAATTGTAGAGAAAGAACGAATTTGATAGAAATTAGGAACCACCCAATTGAACCCTAGATCGGATTCCAAATAGATCTCATGTCCACACGAGGAAAGCGAAATCTCCAATGGCAACTCCTAATGCTATCTTCACCGAAGCCTATAACTCTAAGAACCAAGCTTCATACAAGAATCTTCCTCCACCAAACTCCAAAACCCTAGATTTGAAATCTGGGCTCTGATACCACTTGTTGCGCGCAGCGAAAATTTCGACAGCACTTCGGCAGCACAACAAGAGAGTCAGGTCGCAATAAGAATTCCTGTCTCACCAAGAAAACAAGAATCTGAAGTAAAATATCTCAACCAAGTGAGATATCAGCTCTTCCTCTTATCAGTTCTAGGACTGACCTGTCGAGGGAACCTAAAAGCTATTACAAATCACACAAATAGCGATACAACCAATTTTACGTGGTTCGGCAAATTGCCTACGTCCACGGGGCAAGGAGGGGGGGGGAGATCTACTAATAGAGAGAGAGAATACAAATAGGGTTTACACAAGAATCTCACAAATAAAACCCTCACACAAACTCTCAAATCTCTCACAAAGGGGATGCCAAAATCCCTCTCAAAAGGCCGCTGTTTTTCTTCACCAAGTACAGCCAAAAATCTATGTTTTTCCCTCTGTACGAAGCCCTTGCACGCCGACCTATTCTCCCCCTGTTTTGCACAGCCGCCTCTTTGCTCCGTACGAAAATCCCTTTTGCACGAAGCCTTGCTAACTTTATTTTTTCAAGCCCTAGGAATATATATAGCTTCATCCGGTCACGCGGCTTTGTGGGCTCGGGCTCGTGAACTCTATTCATGTGGTTTGCTATCTCTTCACGCGAAGAGATTTGAGAACGTCATGTGGGTGTGTGGCCCCACTGGTCACACGTATCACATATAATAACTACATAATCTAGCAATACTTAAAGTGCTTAGTACTCTATTTATTCTAGTAATGAGAAACAATAATAAACAAGTCAATCTGAGATGTTAGTTTCAGTTAGATTTTGATCGAGCGTTATTTCTATTCATTGCCCTTTCTTTGTTCCCTTTAATAATTTCCACAGCACCCATCTCTATTCTCTACCAAGAATTCCACCCACCCCTAATTTAATATTAAGACAAGACAGAAATGTTTTCTCAAAAGTTCTGACGCATGGCATTTCTGTAATTAAATATTTTCTATAGATTTTTGTAAACTGCGTTTGGTTCAAAAAAAATTTACAGAAATGTTTTATGTAAAGTACAGAAAAGTACCAAATTTTATAAAAATCGATTTCCTTCTAAAATGGACGGAAATCAGCTGGAAATCTGATGCATTCATTATTTAAATAATAAAACTCATTGACACTTTTCTATAAAGTTGGGAGTGTTTGTTTACATTTCTATAAATTATAGGAAATGTTGTTATTTTCCCAAAAGTTATGAGTCATTTTCTTGTTTTGAATCAAACAATCAAAATACAAAAAAACAAGAAAATTTGTACTTTTTAACTTCTTAAAACTTTTCTAATAATTTTTTTTAAGAAATACAAGGAAATCATATTTTGGGTGGAAAACATTTCCTATAATTTATAGAAATGTAACCAAACACCCCCTTAGCCGATGTATGTCCCAACGCGTGTTTCTAGTTTCGCTGTTTCAGTCAGAGACACGTCGTATTATTATTGAACTTGCAACTGGAGTTGCGTGAATTTCTTTTCCCTTTATGTCTAGTATTTTGGAAAATGATCGCCGTGTCTACAACTTACGATCCTCCTTATAAACTTAAAACGTAAAGATCACAAAACACCCCTAAACTCCGATCCATTCTGCGGTAATTAAATAATTTTGGAAATTGCACTTGACCTACCCAAGTTTTAAGCCGTCCACGAAACCTCCGTAATGTTTATACTCTTTCTACATACCCTAATGTTAAAAATTTTAGGGAATATCTGGAAATAATAATGTTGAAAGTCAGAGAGGTGTGTTGAAAAAAAAAAAACAGGACAATAAACTGATTGGGAGTAAGTTTAAAAAAACAACATCAAAAATTATGAGGGTTGTGTAGATGCCCCAAATGTTTGGGGCCTTAAATGACAAACATTACGGCTTCGTGAAATTCACCCAGATTTAAATTTTAGCATAGTCTCTATGAGATTTTGTTGAGCTGGAAACGAGATGTGCTACTGGAACCAGGATATCGTCCTCCTTGTCACATAAAAAAGATATTTGGTGGGCCTGTGTACAGAAACGTGTCAGTCGACGGACGGTGGCATGACGGAGATCGACCAGTCCCACTGATGCTCAAGTCAACTGAGATTAGGGATCCTAAATTATACAGTGGGAATAATGGGCACGAAGTGACGACTCACTTTGCTAAATGAGCTACTAAGAGCTAGCCATACGACGAGGCCTACATTGTTAGTCACATCAAAAGTTACGGGTTTCACCTACCTATCTCTTGATAACTCATAATCACCATTCTCTTATACAATTTCAAAGCTATGTAACTTTTCTGAAGTAAAATGACACGTTCCAAATCATTTTAGTAGTGAGTAGGGACTATTTAATTCTTAATGGGCCAAACCTGAAAATAAAGGGATCCTACAACCCATTAACGTAAGTGGCCCAATGAACCAACAACTATCATCAATTATATTTTAAATAAAAGACATAAGTCTACATTGAAAATGATGTATTTAGTGCTATTCTGAATGAGGCAATTAAGCAATAATTTCTAAACGTGAAGATATATAGAGATCAATTGTAATCGTATTTAGTTAAATATCTTATGTTTTTCATTAAAGTTTTTTTTTATTATATTGAATGTGCAAGAAAATTTAGTAATATGGTCTTTTAATATGTATTGTAACACCGATTATATTATGAATTATAGCTCGCCACTGATTGAGATATATTATAGATGGAAGTAATAATCTACGATGAAAGGACCTTTTGGAGTTAGAATGTAACGAGGTTGTTCCAAGCTCACGTTCGTCGCCTCGCTTTCGGCACAAGCCTCTCCGTCTTAAGTAGCAGCATCGCCCCGAGAGAAGGGATTAGAGTGAGTGGCCAGATGAACCCCTCTGCTTTGTGAATTATAGATCGTCAATGTAAATCCTCTCTAGCCCCAAGAGAAGGAAGGATCAGAAAGTCTCAATTCGCACATTAATTTTTGGGTCCTCCCCACCACCCAAAACCCCAAAAAACGACCTTAAAATAGGGTCATTTTATAGAAACCGCTTTTTACTTTTAATTTATGCATAACTCATCGTTAAAGTGAATTTTCGTTTGAATCAACTACCTCCTATCCAAACCTTCACTAGAACCCGAAAATAACCTTAAAAATATATATCTAAGGTACGTGACTTGTATTTTTATTGGACCTAAACATTAAGAAAGTGAGCCCCGTGTGTTGAATATAATTTTTAAAAGGATATTTGAGTTTTCAGTTGAAATTTTGACTGGGGGTGATTGATTATAATAGAAACCCATCTTAGAGACGGTTTACGTAGAAATTGAAAATGAAATTCGGCTTTGTAAAATGACCCTATTTTTAAAGGATTCGGATCCTCTCCACTACAAAAAAAATAGTGGAGGGACCACTACATAATCACAATCATTGATTATCTCGTTGATGGTTATGATTTTTTTTAGTGCAAATTAAGAATGAGTGCAATACACGGGGGTATGGTAAGTGTTAGATTTAGATTGTATCATAACCGCCTACTAAATAATCAATGCTTGAGATTAAAAGTAGTGGTCTCTCCACTACTTTTTTGTAGTGGAGAGGATCCAAATCCATTTTTAAAATGGTATTTAAGAAAAACCGTTAATCTTTCTACATCTCAATTTTCAAGAAAACTAATGCACCCCTACTTTGGAAACTTAAGATTCGGGGTTACGTACCAAGAATTTTACACTACAAACGGCTAACCCATTAGAGTACAAAAGGTATATAAGTAACCATCCTTAATTAGCTACATTTCATATATAATATTCAAAAGTTAATGCTAAAAGTTAGCTTTCTAGCGTGTCAACACATCCATTTGTACACAAAATATATACTCCATATGACAACAAGAAACAATCACCCAAAGGCACCAATCCCTCTACTTTGTCCTTCTCGCCCCTCTCTGTCTTCATTCCTCTTTCCTCTTCTCTCTCTCTCTCTCCCTCTCTCTCTCTCAAAGTTTAAGCAGCTAACTACATCTCGTCATGGTTGTGATAAGATCACTCCTCTTCCTTCTACTTTCACTCCTCTCCTTCTCCTCTTATGCAAGAGGAGCCAATTATCGAAATGGGCCCCTCGTGAGCCCAGCAAAGCTCGAGATGTTCGTCGACGAGCTCCCCCGCATGCCCACCGTCCACGGCTACGGCGTCGGAGACGGCGGTCCCGTCACCGCCCATCTCACCATCGGCATGTATCTGAAAACTTGGGTACGCACCGATCACTCTCCCATGCGTTTCATATTTTTGCTGTGGCGGTGATGATACCCGCGGTGAACCGACTCCTGATTTAGTAATCAAGCTAATCTTTTATTTGCCAGGATTAGAGTGGGGGGAAAATTCATATGGCAAACTTATAATGAAAGAGGAGAAACTTTCACTTGGTTCTATCATCAATTTTAATGATTTATGCTTTGTTTTTGCTTATAGTTAAATATTTTGTTTATTAATTGTTTGCATTGATTTTGTGTATTATTTGTAATGGTTTTCGAGAGCTTTATTATTGTAGATTATTTGAATATTTTGAAAATGATATTAATCCTAAAAAGGAAGGATATATATTTTTTTATTTGGTTTCTTATTGGGCAGTAGTTAATTTCCGTTTTTTGTTGTCCATTTGAAAATTGCATAATTGTGGGTCAATTTGTTAAAAATTTAATCTGATAGAAAAATTAACATGTGTGAAGAACTTAATTTGGATATTTTTTTTACTAAAGTGCAAATTAATCTGAAGTAACATTAAGCTACTACTAAAGTAGACCTCATTGGTCAATGTCAAAGTTTTGTTTATTTATTTATTTTAGGATTATGTCAACTTTGATCAATCCTTGGACTTAAGGTTGCTTATAAAAGGAAACTTTTATTGAGAATGACAAATGGATGGTTGGTGAAAAGACTTGGCAGGTTGATAAATATTATCGATGTAGCTATAAGCTTACCATTTATTGATTAATCATGAGTTTTTGGAAAATGGTCCCAATTTTCTAAGATGCCAAAATGTCATTATAAGTATGATGATAAAAATAACATAAATTAAAGATTAAGTTGAATCAATTATCTTTCCTATATACACACAAACATATATATAGT